ACCCCCCATAAAAACAATTTTGCCCGGTTTGCTGAACATATCCTTATTGTACCCCGGGTTTTGTATCAGTGCATTATCTGTATTCTCTTGTTTGAGTAACTGCTGTGTCGCCTGTAGATTGTGCTCTGCTATTTTCGCTAAGGCACCCTGTACATGTCTCTTTGTACCATTATGTTTTGTATTAATAAAGGCTTTCTTTTGGGAAAAAAAAAAAAAAAATGTGCACTAACTATGTGTAATGTGTGTAAAGTGACTATATAATGCTGGAATTTTTTTTTAATACTACTAAAAGGAGGTGATCAATACACTATATAGTGGACTGTGATAGTAAGGTGAACTATTTGAACACTAACTGACACTGGGTGGGAATTGATATTAACTGACACTGACCTCTTCAGTGACACTAATACAGTGATAACAGTATAACACTGTCACAATACTATTGACACTGGCTGAGATGGGGTTAACATCTTGGATAATCAAGGGGTTAAGTGTGTGCCTAACAGGTGTTAATTTGTGTACTGTGTGCTGCTTTTTACTAAAAAACTATCCTCTTTGTTTCTTTTCTCTGCTAAGGGAGAAAGAAAAGAAAAAGAGAAAGAAAAAGAGAGATCATTCCCTCTTTATAGAGCCCTTTGTTGATTGTCAACACAGGGCTCTGGGCTGTGAAATGGATACAGCTGATCAGCATAAATCATTGGCCAGGGCATGCTGTCAACTCCCTCTGTGCAAACTTCAGATGCACGAATCGAATTTTTCCCCTGATCGGCCCGATTTTCATCCTTTTCTACAGCCGCAAAAAGTGTCCCTGCAGAGAGCTCTGCTATTTCTGACAGTTCTCTGACAGTTCCTTCACATTTACAGCGGTTGAAACATTGTATCTATTTGTTTCCATTTAGGATACAGATGTTTTTATTCGGAAACAAATAGATACAATGTTTCAACCACTGTAAATGTGAAGCTTTTTGCTGTACTGGAATTCTTCTTATTTTCATTCTTCTTCTTCTTCTTCTTATTTTCATTCTTCTTCTTCTTCTTATTTTCATTCTTCTTCTCCTTCTGCTTCTCCTTCTTCTTTTCATTCTTCTTCTCCTTCTTCTTTTCATTCTTCTTCTCCTTCTTCTTCTTCTTCTTTTCATTCTTCTTCTTCTTCTTCTTTTCATTCTTCTTCTTCTTCTTCTTCTTCTTCTTATTTTCATTCTTCTTCTCCTTCTTCTTTTCATTCTTCTTCTCCTTCTTCTTTTCATTCTTCTTCTCCTTCTTCTTCTTCTTTTCATTCTTCTTCTCTACTTCTTTTCATTCTTCTCATTCTTCTTTTCATTCTTCTTTTCATTCTTCTTCTTCTTTTCATTCTTCTTCTTCTTCTTCTTTCATTCTTCTTTTCATTATTCTTCTTCTTTTCATTCTTCTCTTCTTCTTCTTTTCATTCTTCTTCTTCTTTTCATTCTTCTTCTTCTTCTTTTTTCATTCTTCTTTTCATTCTTCTCATTCTTCTTTTCATTCTTCTTTTCATTCTTCTTCTCATTCTTCTTTTCATTCTGCTTCTCATTCTTCTTTTCATTCTTCTTCTTCTTTTTCATTCTTCTTTTCATTCTTTCTTCTCATTCTTCTTTTCATTCTTCTTTTCATTCTTCTTCTTCTTCTTTTCATTCTTCTTCTTCTTCTTCTTTTCATTCTTCTCATTCTTCTTTTCATTCTTCTTCTTTTTTTTCTTCTTCTTCTTTTCATTCTTCTTTTCATTCTTCTTCTTCTTCTTCTCATTCTTCTTTTCATTCTTCTTTTCATTCTTTTTCTTCTTTTCATTCTTCTTTTCATTCTTCTTTTCATTCTTCTTCTTTTCATTCTTCTTCTTCTTCTTTTCATTCTTCTTCTTCTTCTTTTCATTCTTCTTCTTCTTTTCATTCTTCTCATTCTTCTTTTCATTTCTTCTTCTTTTCTTTTCATTCTTCTTCTTTTCATTCTTCTTTTCATTCTTCTTCTTCTCATTCTTCTTTTCATTCTTCTTTTCATTCTTCTTTCATTCTTCTTCCTCTTTTCATTCTTCTTCTTTTCATTCTTCTTTTCATTCTTCTTCTTTTTTCATTCTTCTTCTTCTTCTTTTCATTCTTCTTCTTCTTCTTTTCATTCTTCTTTTCATTCTTCTCATTGTTCTTTTCTTTCTTCATTCTTCTTCTCATTCTTCTTTTCATTCTTCTTCTCATTCTTCTTTTCATTCTTCTTCTTCTTTTCATTCTTCTTCTTCTTCTTTTCATTCTTCTTTTCATTCTTCTTCTTCTTTTCATTCTTCTTCTTCTTCTTTTCATTCTTCTTTTCATTATTCTTCTTCTTTTCATTCTTCTTCTTCTTCTTTTCATTCTTCTTTTCATTCTTATTCTTCTTTTCATTCTTCTTCTTCTTCTTTTCATCTTTTCATTCTTCTCATTCTTCTTTTCATTCTTCTCACTCTTCTTCTTCTTCTTCTTCTTTTCATTCTTCTTTTCATTCTTCTTCTTCTTTTCATTCTTCTTCTTCTTCTTTTCATTCTTCTTTTCATTATTCTTCTTCTTTTCATTCTTCTTCTTCTTCTTTTTCTTTTCTTCTTTTCATTATTCTTCTTCTTTTTCATTCTTCTTCTTCTTCTTTTCATTCTTCTTTTCATTCTTCTTCTTCTTTTCATTCTTCTTCTTCTTCTTTTCATCTTTTTTCATTCTTCTCATTCTTCTTTTCATTCTTCTCACTCTTCTTCTCATTCTTCTTTTCATTCTGCTTTCTCATTCTTCTTTTCATTCTTCTTTTCATTCTTCTTCTTCTTCTTTTCATTCTTCTTTTCATTCTTCTCATTCTTCTTTTCATTCTTCTTTTTCATTCTTCTTCTTCTTCTTTTCATTCTTCTTTTCATTCTTCTTCTTCTTCTTCTCATTCTTCTTTTCATTCTTCTTTTCATTCTTCTTCTTCTTTTCATTCTTGTTCTTTTCATTCTTCTTTTCATTCTTCTTCTTCTTCTTCTTTTCATTCTTCTTCTTCTTCTTTTCATTCTTCTTTTCATTCTTTTCATTCTTCTTTTCATTCTTCTCATTGTTCTTTTCATTCTTCTCATTCTTCTTCTCATTCTTCTTTTCATTCTTCTTCTTCTTCGTTTCATTCTTCTTTTCATTCTTCTTTTCATTCTTCTTCTTCTTCTTTTCATTCTTCTTCTTCTTTTCATTCTTCTTCTTCTTTTCATTCTTCTCATTCTTCTTTTCATTCTTCTTCTTCTTCTTTTCATTCTTCTTTTCATTCTTCTTTTCATTCTTCTTCTTCTTCTTCTTCTTCTTCTGGCAACTCCACCACGCAGCTCATTTTTGTTCCAGTATTACTGTATTTTGCTCCTTCAAAATCCTGAAACTTTCTTTTGGCAGGTGTACAGACTCAGGTACTCAGTGCAGGAATGGTGGGAATCCCTCACAATGGACACAGCAGGTGTACATACAGACCCAGGAATTCAACACAGGGACAGTGGGAACCCCTAATAATGGGTAAAGCAGGTGGGCAGACCCGGAATCTCAGCACATGGATGGTAGGAACCCCTCATAATGGGCACAGCAGGTGTGCATACCCAGAACCTCAGCACAGGGATGGTGGGAACCCCTAGTAATGGGCGCAGCAGGTGTGCAGACCTGGGACCTCAGCACAGGGATGGTAGAAACCCCTCATAATGGGAACAGCAGGTGTACAGACCCAGGAATTTAGCACAGGGATGGTGGGAACTCCTCCTAATGGGCAGAGCAGGTGTACAGACCCAGGAACTCAGCACAGGGATGGTGGGAACTTCTCATAATGGGCGCAGCAGGTGTGCAGACCTGAAACCTCAGCACAGGGATGGTGGGAACCCCTCATAATGGGCACAGCAGGTGTGCATACCCAGAACCTCAGCACAGGGATGGTGGGAACCCCTAGTAATGGGCGCAGCAGGTGTGCAGACCTGGGACCTCAGCACAGGGATGGTAGAAACCCCTCATAATGGGAACAGCAGGTGTACAGACCCAGGAATTTAGGACAGGGATGGTGGGAACTCCTCCTAATGGGCAGAGCAGGTGTACAGACCCAGGAACTCAGCACGGGGATGGTGGGAACTTCTCATAATGGGCGCAGCAGGTGTGCAGACCTGGAACCTCAGCACAGGGATGGTGGGAACCCCTCATAATGGGCACAGCAGGTGTGCATACCCAGAACCTCAGCACAGGGATGGTGGGAACCCCTAGTAATGGGCGCAGCAGGTGTGCAGACCTGGGACCTCAGCACAGGGATGGGTAGAAACCCCTCATAATGGGAACAGCAGGTGTACAGACCCAGGAATTTAGCACAGGGATGGTGAGAACTCCTCCTAATGGGCAGAGCAGGTGTACAGACCCAGGAACTCAGCACAGGGATGGTGGGAACTTCTCATAATGGGCGCAGCAGGTGTGCAGACCTGGAACCTCAGCACAGGGATGGTGGGAACCCCTCATAATGGGCACAGCAGGTGTGCATACCCAGAACCTCAGCACAGGGATGGTGGGAACCCCTTATAATGGGCACAGCAGGTGTTAGGGGGTTTAACTCTCCAGCATCCATTAGAGACTGATATAGTAATATAGTTCATTCTTCTTTTCATTCTTCTTTTCATTCTTCTTCTTCTTCTTTTCATTCTTCTTCTTCTTTTCATTCTTCTTTTCATTCTTCTTCTTCTTTTCATTCTTCTTCTTTTCATTCTTCTTCTTCTTTTCATTCTTCTTTTCATTCTTCTTCTTCTTTTTATTCTTCTTCTTCTTCTTTTCATTCTTCTTTTCATTCTTCTCATTCTTCTTTTCATTCTTCTCATTCTTCTTTTCATTCTTCTCATTCTTCTTCTCATTCTTCTTTTCATTCTTCTTCTCATTCTTCTTCTTCTTTTCATTCTTCTTTTCATTCTTCTCATTCTTCTTTTCATTCTTCTTTTCATTCTTCTTCTACTTCTTTTCATTCTTCTTCTTCTTCTTTTCATTCTTCTTCTTCTTTTCATTCTTCTCATTCTTCTTTTCATTCTTCTCCTTCTTCTTTTCATTCTTCTTTTTCATTCTTCTTCTTCTTCTTTTCATTCTTCTTCTTCTTCTTTTCATTCTTCTTCTTCGTCGTGCCCCGTGACTGCCCAAATGAGTGAAGTGTGCGGTGATTCTAAGATCGACGGCACTCATCTGCATGTCATACTGACTGACAGTATTATTTCTCTTCCCCAGCAGACTCCAAGGGCATTTAAATTAAAGGTACAGTGTTCTGCACTAATATAAAGGCTCTCTGAAGCCTAGAAACCCTTTTAATTAGTTAAATTCGCAGCGAATAAATTCGCATCGAATTGAATTTCTCCCGCAAATTCGGCGAATCAGCCGAATCGAATTTTTGAATAATTCGCTCATCTCTAGACACAATGTCTCCTCTCTTTGTATGATATGTTTTTGGATGCCAACCAATCAACCTTGTTGCTCACATAGACTCTGTACCAAGACAACTGTACCAAGATCCAATGTTTCTACTATGACGCTTATAAGTGCAAGATATAGAAATGTAATGGGGTTGATTTTCTAAAAGAAAATAAACTGTTCCCATTTTAAGGGAATTTGCACTTCGTAAGGGGATTTTCCCCAGAGCTCAGTGAATGAGGTGATACTCTGCTGATCTCTGTCATTCAATCATGTGCAAGAAAAAAATATTATTATTTTTTTTACTTGAATGTAATTGGCTAGTTTTTTCTAAGTGAAAATTCATCGCATTTACTAAGCTCTGGGAAATGCCACTTGCAAAGTGTAACTTCACTTGCAAATTGAACACCCTATTTATCTTTTTTTTTTTGTAATAACAATTTTTATTGATTTTCAAAAATATACAAAACAGTAT